AGACAGTATTTCTTACACTTAGTGAGAAACTTTTTATAAAATTAGTATAGCAATCTTATGACTAATAACCTTCAGTTTCAGCCATAGTTTAGGAAACTGTTACTCTTGCGAACAATGTCCCTGCAACCATGACTCTTCAGCCTTGGAAAAATCTATTTGTAAATGAATTTAGTGCTTTGAATCTATTTGAAAAAATGATTAAGATGTGCACTGAAAATGATTTTTAAAAATTACCACTACTGAATTGCAGCATTACTGTAAATATTAAAACTTAGAAATAGTATCAAATAAGAGGAGAATGTTCAAAATGATAGTACATATGTCATGAAAAATATGCAGATGTTAAAATGACCACTTAAAAAATGTTTAATGATGTGAAAAATGGCCATGATGAAGTGCAGTGTTCAAAACCAGTAAGCCAGATCTTACAGGTGGAACATTACACATACACACATTAGCTGCATTGAATGTTTAACTTGACAGCATCCATAAACACAAATATTTTTATTCCCCATATGTTTTAGAAAAGAAATCTGTAAACTTGTCTGAATTTTTGAAGAACACAAGTATTATGCATTGCAGAGGGAAAGGAGGGTGGAATTTTTGTAATGAGAGACACATACTTTCAAGCCCTTTGACATGTGTCAAGTGTCTCTCTCTCTGACCCCCGGCAAATACATACATGACTGCACAGGCACCAGTTGAGTATTCTTGGAGGAAAGACAATCTGGAGCACAGACCAAGACAGCCAGGTATTTTTCCAGTTCTTCAAGTGATTTGAAAGGTGTGCAGGATATGAACATTACTAAATCCCAGTGTGAAAACAAAAACCTATTCTTAGGATATGGTTTTCTCTCATCAAATGGCCAGAAAATGTGAGTTATATGTCTTCCTATAGGCTCAAAGTAGTATAGATTTTGAAAATCTTTTCCTGTTTTCAAGTAGAGAGAATAAAAATCAGGCTGTTAATTGCTCATAGAGTGGTGCTTCTTTACCAGGAGAGATCTCGATCTCAATGGGATATTTATCAATGTCTGGAAGCATTTTTTGGTTGTCACAACAGGGAGAGGGTGCTGCTCACATGCAGTGGGGATGCTGCTAAACACTGTACAGTGCGCATGATAGTCCCAACCCCACCACACCCCCACCCACAACACACAAGAAAACACTATCTGGACCAAAATAGTGCCACAGTTAAAAAACCTGCCAGAGAGAGACATTACAGAGTACTTGAACAAAGCCACAGTAATTTCTCTCCTTTCTGTTTCACAAGTAGCTCATGTGTCCTTGTCCCTCCATGAATAGTCACATGGGCCTCTTACTGCCACACTCAGCATCAAGGTGACTGTCAGGAGAATCTCCATAGGTCTTTGCTAGGTTGCATGGAGGGGGTTAGTGTGAGAGAGGAGGAAGAGAAAAGGAGAGAGAACAAGCCTCATCCCAATTTGTTCACACTGCTCTCTCTCTCACAGTAATAGCTGCTCCAAGATATCTAGTTCCACAAATCAAATCATTCCCATTTCCTAGATTTCCGATATTTCCCCTTACTGCAAAAAGAGAAACATATTTTCATAATGGACTACTCAAAGCTTAGCAGTTCTTAAAACATTCTCAAATTAAGAGGGGGAGAAAAGATAGATTTTTAAAAATCTCTACTACTACTGGTACAATTCCATCTTCTACATATGACTGAAGAATTACCTCCATGAGGAAAAAAAAAAAAATAGCTCCAAGGAAATATTGATGTCCATCCAAAAACAAACAAACAAAAAACCCAAAAAACAAAACCCAGAGTACAGCACATCAGATAGATGTTGCTTACCCTATTTCTAAAGATACTGTGAAGGAAAACTCTAGATAGGTTTTATGTTTGTGCTTGTGTATCCCTGGGGCCCATGCTCAGTGAGATTCCCAGAGCAATCATTGATCTCTGCTAGATATTTATAAGATATCAAGAAAACTCTAACTTGGGACTTGAACAATTATTGATCACTATGGGATTCAAACGGGGAGGGGGAGAGAGAAAGCCAACATGGTATGTATGATAATAATTTAACAGTTACATCCAGAGTTCATTATGAACTGCAGAACATTGCACACTGCTTCCAAGCATTGTCCCTGTGAGGCAACACTCACATTGCTATTATGAAATATGAACAGATCTTACAAACTCTGCCTGTCTTATACTCAATGCCTCCTTCCTAAAAGGAATAGGGTCTGAAGCCACACCAGAGTCCCGCCAAATGCCAGAAAGTGGAGGCGGGTAATAAACCTTCTTTACTGAGAATAATAATAATTACTCACATTTTCTATATTCTAGGTACTCTTCTAGATACAACTATTGACACATTTCATATTTATAAAAACAAGTGAGGTTGGTACTGTTATGCCCCCTTGAAGATGAGGTGACTGAGGCACAGACAGGTGTAACTGGCCCAAAGTCACACACAGAATCCCTAGGAGAAGGACACCATATGCTGTTGTGTGGTTTGTAGGACCCATGACTGTGAGGAAGAGCACAGCTACAGAGAGGTACTGGG